TAATATTAATTGTCCTCATTCGTGGAGTGAAAACAAATGTGCTGGGATTGATTGGTACTACGGTTTTATGAAAAGATGGCCTAGATTGTCATTGCGGAAACCTGAAGCAACAAGTTTAGGGCGAGCTACTAGCTTTAATCGCACTACGGTCAACGAATTTTTTGAAAATTTGGAAGTGGCGTATAAAAAATTAGGAAATAATATTACACCGTCAGCAATTTATAATTTAGATGAAACAGCTCTTACTACCGTGCATAATCCACCTAAAATAGTTGCAGAAAAAGGCCAGAAACAGGTTGGTCAAGTGACATCCGGTGAACGAGGAGTTCTTGTTACTGCTTGCTGTTTCATATGTGCGAATGGCAATTCGGTTCCTCCTTTTTTAGTGTTTCCACGTGTAAATTTCAAAGAACACATGCTCAATGGTGCTCCTGCAGGCTCCGCTGGAGGCGCGTGTAAAAGTGGTTGGATGAACAGCACATTATTTGTCGAAGTTTTAAAACATTTTCAAAATGAAACAAGGTCATCCATTGAAAATAAAGTTTTACTGATACTCGATAATCATGAATCACATGTTTCAATTCAAAGTTTGCAATTCTGCAACAATAATGGCATCATTCTTTTAACTTTACCGCCCCACACTTCAAATAAATTGCAGCCACTTGATGTAGCAGTATACAAATCTTTAAAAAATGCTTTTAATATTGCCTGTAATGACTGGATGTTAAGCCACCCAGGTAAACCAATTTCAATTTATGAAATTAGTGGCCTTTTCGGTATTGCATATCCAACTGCATTTTCTCCTAGAAATATCAAGAAAGGATTTGAAAGTACAGGTATTTGGCCTTTTAATCAAAATATTTTCAACGATGTTGAATTTTTGTGCTCTTCTGTCTCAGACAGACCTGCGATAATCAGTAATGTGGAAGTTCCATCGAATGAAAATTTTGATATAATGAATATGCCAATCATAATCGAAATGCCAAATATTTCTACTTCGGAACAGCTTACCATTCCAAATGTAAGTTGTGATTTATCGAACGTGATGAACGAACATAGTCCTGAAAATAATCTTCAAAGAAAGAAAGCAAATAAAATCAGATCAACAACAATTTCACCAGATCAAGTACGACCATATCCAAAGACAGCGCCTAGAAAAGGATCTACTCGACAAAGAAAACGTAGTGCGATATTAACAGGTTAAGAGTTATATAAGTTATGATTTTTATAAGAAAGATTTTTGTTAAAAAAAGTTTCTAAAACGAAAATATCTATTTTTAAAACAAAAACCAAAAATTAAGATGTGATAATTAAAAAATGTTGTAATTGTTATGAAAATATAAGATTTTATAATATAATTAATAAATATACAATGGTATAGAACTAAATTTTTCTGTATATAACTTCGTACAAATAAATAATCATTAATAATATAGGAAACTACACCTAATGTCCTATAACTTTATTTACACAAGGCTTGTCACACACTGCTCCATGATTTATAAGACTCGGCACATATTACCCCACGTCTATGAACAAAGTGCCCCACGCATGGGGCAGGGTGTGCCAATAGCCTACTTTTAGAAAATGATTTTTTTTTGTGTGAATTAATAGTATTTCATCAATAAAACCTAATATTTAATAAAATTAATACTATGCTAGTTCAATTAAGCGTATAAGAATTGGTAGGTAAGGAAGAAGAGGATCTTTAATATCATTTCGAAAAAAAGTGGCACAACCAGCCCCACTCTCCCCTAAGCGCATTAATGAGATCCCTATTTGTAGCCTCTCTACTTATCTTACGAGTATGATGCAATCTATATTTTCTGATTTCCTTATGTCTGGCTTCTAGAGCTTCCTCAGAAAGTAATCCTATTGGTAAGTCAAAACTATCTATTATATCACATCCGTGTACTAACACTTTGTGCACATTACTTGGCATATAGTACCAATTGTATAAAGCCAAATACAATTCTCGAGTATCTTGCAAAAGTGTTTTAAATTTAATTGTATCTATTTTCCTACCACTAGATATTACTCTTAAAATTAAATAAAACATATCTATTAAATTTTTATCGATGCCAGTAATTTGAGAACTAATTTCAGAGTTAATGAAAAACCTCCGTGCAGTGTTGCCGTTATTGCTGGAACCGTATCCTGGTTTTGGTTTATCTACAATGAGACCTAACCGAGATTAAAAATTTTCTTGCACTTGCTTTTTCGTATGCTCAAATATTTGTTTATGCTCGTCACCTCTTACTTGCCATTTCTTAAATGGAATTCTATAAGAAATGTGCAGAAGACATTCAAAAAATCTTATCAAGCAATGTAGCGTAGATAAGCCAAAACGATAATTATTAGTATTTGGAAGTTTTTCAGTAACTCTTATTGAGTTCATTTCTTTTGGAGTTGCTCCACATACATAACATTTAGAAGTCACATTAGTATTAGATAAAATATTACTAACACTACCATCTAACATAGTAAAATGTAATTGAAAATTAATTTGCACATTATTATCACCCGAATTAATTATGTAAGGGGAAAGATTTTCAATTTTGGAAATCATGAGAGATTCTTGTTCCCTCACTAATTTTTCATTTTCTTTCATAAATATAAATTTAATTGGGCGGCAAAAAAATGTAGATGAAGAGCGAAAATTTACCCATAACTCTCTGTTACTTCTGATATCTACTAATTTAAGTGGTACGAGCAATTAAAAACATAAATTCATCTGTATTATGAGCTGAACTTTCAGTAAATTTCTGTTTATAAATACTGTGTCCAGAGCTACCATCGAATCCCCATTTACATATAAGCTTTGAGGTAGGCTTGCAAGATCTTCTCAATATAACTACCGATAATATTTTTAAAATGGTAGATATATTGAGAAGATCTTGCAAGCCTACCTCAGCAGACATTTCTGTCACAGATATTGATGAAGGCAAAAATGACCTTTTCATCTATCTAAGAATCTTTACAGAGGGAAAACAGTTTTTATGTAAAGCATTAATAAAACTTCTAAGATATTTTCTTTCCGAGAGGCCTAAATCTAAACATAATGCAATTAAATCTTGTGGAGATAAATCATGATGTGTCTGATTTGAAGTATTGGAAGCTCCTTGCGATAATGGGGCAGCCAAACGAAGTTCGTCAGATGATCTTGAAATGATTAAATCTTGAACACGTCTCCTTTTCGTTTTTGATGAAGCTTCTTCAAATGATACCTGTGGTCTACCACGTCTACCTCCTGGTTGTTGTAATCCATTTGGAATTGATGTTTCTTCGAGTAAAATGTCAGAAAGTTGAATTTCTATATTTAGCCACTCATGATGTCTTTGCAACAGATAATTTTTGTTACGTGAACAATCTTTCCACTTTTTACCTATTGCTAGGCAATAAACTTCGCTTATTTTCTTGATTTTCTCATAAACTGAGTCGGTACACACAGCAATATTTAAAAGTAACTGAATTTTCATTAAAACATTTATTGATTTTTCTGATTTCTGACTGGAAATCCATGTTTCTAATAAATCTAAATTTTTCATATTAATAATGAGACTACTAGGACCCGAACGTTCGCGGTTCGTGCTCACTTCCATGTCGCGCGTGGAGAATCGTCGCGTGGGAGTTGTGTGTTGACGATCGTCATGAAATTAGTTGACGATCGCTGCCGTCGATATATACCAGATGTGGAGCAACATCAAAAAGAGATGAATTCAATAAGAGTTACTAAAAAATTTCCAAATACTGATAATTATCGTTTTGGCATATCCACGCTGCATTGCTAGATAAGATTTTTTAAATGTCTTATGCATATTTGTTATAGACTTTCATTTAAGAAATAGCAAATAAGAGGCATACCACATGACTTACACTTGAGCGATACGGAATCGGAAGACAGTGAATAATAATAATTACTATTAGAGGAAAGTCGCCGATACTGACATAGATCTCCTAAAGTGACACTCCCTTATTTCTCAGAAACTAACTATTGCACTTTATTAATACTAATAAAATCATGATCTGTTTAGCTAATTAAAGAA